CCACTCGTCGAAGGAAGGAGACGGCCAGTTCTTTTGCGGCCACGTCGTGCTTGAGTGAGTAGGGCCACGTCGGGCTGATCTTCGATGTGTCAAAGCATGTGTATTCAATCCTGTAGTCTACACCCTAGGGCGACTTCACCATATCCTCAGGTTTGGTGGTTAGACCCCCTTCTCAGGGGGGTAGTTTTTGGAGCCCTAGCAACAGAGTCACCCCCATTGAAGTGCAGTCTTGAGCTAGTCCGATAGGTTAGCCGATCCGGTTTGATATGCTTTGATGGCGGGAAACATCAACAACATTGCCGGAAGAAAGGGCTGCCATTCAATCAAGTAGACCACAGAAGTAATTACCACTCTTGGCACCATGGGACAGGGGCAACAAACCCAATCACCTCCAGGCACACTCCCTCGAATCAGAGGTGGATGGCACCACTGGTTGGTAGAGGATTTCATGGTCATCAAAGGAGTCAAGCGGCCATCCATGTCAGGGAGTGCACCAAGATTTTGAGAACAAGTTGAGAACCAAATCTCTGCAGAATCGAACATCCTGAGATCCTCCTCAGACCCTCCTCCAACCCCTGCCAGGAGACTGCCAGCTCTTCCAAAAGGGAAAAAGATCCTGAATGGGATGGGATGGGGTGTGACCCAAAAACGCATGCTTTGTTCAGGTCAATTGTCTCAGAAGGCCTGACGGACCAAAAAAGGGATATGGAATGTGGATTTCCTGTACCAGGAACCCCAGGGTCCTACTTACCATGTGCCATCTGCCGCGCAGCGCGTGGAACTTGGATATGGAACTTGCATGAACTTGCGGCAAGCCGTCCCAGCGCCCTTGGACTTACAGTGGTTTCAGAGTAGATGGCACAATCCCCAAGTTTGGTGGGCTTTATGGAGCCCATATCAAAGACATCTGTGGGGTGCCAGTGCCATCAAACCTCTGAAACCACTGTATCTGGGGGAACTCGGAATGTTCCAAGTTGCATAGGTTCCAAATTCAATTTTCTCATGATTTGCCGGAAAATTTTGGAGCCTCTTCTCGGGGATCAATGACTGGTGCGGATGACATGTTATGTTGACTGACCCACACGAGAGATTCAGAACTACGAAGATCTCTATTTTCGTCTTTCAATGTCTAGTTCTAATTGACGTTAATTCGGTGGAAACATGATTTCTTCTCTTTGGGGGGCATCTGCATTTGTTCTACTGCAACCTCATGTCACACAACACCACCCACTTCTCCGAGCCATCCCCTTCTCCAAAGCATTTCAACGTTGCCTTGAAGCAATTTGCAGCCCTTTGGGATATTTTGCGGAAGTTGCAGGACATCAAGTTCACCCCCACAAATAGCAGCTATCCCTCCTCTCAACCTTCGCTTTGCTCGGCCGGACCACCGGGAATACCGGGACCACCGGCGTCCGGCGTCCGAGCGTCGGTTGGTGTTCCATCATCCTGTGGTCATGGTGGAGCCGGGTGCCATCGTCGAGCCCGGAGGAAAGGTGCCCAACGTCTCGTCATCAGCTTTGCTACGGATGGCCTCTTGCCTTGGGCAACGGCCGGATGGGGCTGGGTGATGGAGGGGGCTGGGTTAAGAGTCGACTTGGGAGGGAAAGGTGTGAAGATGCCACTCTCATTGCATGCTGCTTGACCAGCGATTTGGGATCCAATGCCGCATGAACCAACTTTCTATGCTACTAGTAAGGACGGTCGTCCTCATCGCTCCAAACCAACTATACGAGGGGAGCCACTTTGGAGAATCCTAGCGCAACCCTGGTAGGACCTCTCTTGGACTTTCGCTTTTGGGGCTTCCTGGGCAGCATGGCTTCCTTTTTCCTTTTGTATTCGCCCGCCCTTCGCAGTGTTCAGGGTTCTTTTTGTCTACCTTCAGATGACCTGGAGCAATTGTGTCCACTCCAAATCCAGGATGTCTATCAAATAGGGAGACTTTCCAGGCGGAAAACCGACCGAAAGCCAAATGGGTCCAGGGGGGGTTGAGGGGGTCTCCCTAATCGAAAACATAGCTTCCGGCCTGTCCCAAACCCACCAATCCCAGCGACACATCCGCCAGGGTCATCGTGGGCGGCTGAGCGGGGTAGGCCGATGAGCCATCGTCCGCTTCCTTGGATTTCGCCCAGCTCCTCAGTTTTGGAGCGCTTTTCTTGGAAAGTGCCCCACTGTCAGCTACTTGGCCGACATAGGCCCTGACAAATAGGTGTTCTGGATGACAGTCGTCAAAACCAGGTGCGACGATCAGTGCACCACACGCGTGTCGGCGTCTAAGTCACTGGGCTCATTTCGTGGTACGCAAAAGACCTTTGAAGACCTTGAAGTTGAGCTCTTCAAAGGTCTTTTGTATCACTTCAAGGTCCGTCCCTCGTCAACCCAAGAAGGTCTCCATGTTGGCAAGTACATGCAGCCACCTTGCCAGCTTCTGGGGCACGAACTATCCAAATGGTCATACATGGGTCATCGGTTCGAGCACATGGAGTCTGAAAACACAAACGCTCGGGCTCCAGTCGTACCTTCGTTTCGAAGGTGGGACTGGGGTGGGTGCCAGAAGCGTCCACTTGCGATCTTCGAGGACTGGAAAGCAATTCCAGAAGTTGGATCGTGGTCCTGAAGTTCGCCAAGACACAGAACTTGGGGCCAAGTGAACAGCCTCCAGCACCCAGCGAAACATGCTCATTGACATCTACAGCCCAAGGGGCATGTCACACCCAGGCGCTGGACTAGTCATCCTAGACCTTCCGTGTAACGATCTCCTTGCATCGGGCACCCGCAAAACGCCAGGTCGGGACGGTGGTCGGACACTTCTTACTGTGGAGCGTCTGCTTGAGCTCCTCGTTCAATTGCCGGAGGATCTCAGTATCGGCCATGCCCTGTTCCTGCCGAAGCGGAGCCAGGCGAACGCAGGTCTGGCAGGTCGTACTTCCACAGCCTATTATGGATCCACATACCTTCTCCTTCATGAAGGTGGATCAATTGGGCCTTTGCAGCTTTGGGGGGCATCCCTCGGTCCTGGAGCTGCTGTGCACCAAACAAAAGACGCTGCTTCAGTCGTGCACTGCTGCATGCGCGAGGAGAGTTACTATAAAAAGAAGTGCAACTTGTCCAACGATCGCTATCAAAACTCCTCTTCTGAACCCCTGCTAGCTTCTCCGGTATGCCTCCCTCTGGGTGTGTTCTTTCATATCAGAAACATGAATGAGCAGTTCGAGCGACACCGTGTCGCTCGAACTGACCCACACGCAACCCACCTGAAGATTCACGTTCCATGGAAGTGGATGGCATGGTCCCTTGGAAGGCTATTCTCCTCTAGAAACAGGGGGTTCTCCACTTCCATGTTTGTGAGTCAAAGGATACTGTATATTACCCAAAAATACGGGCATCATGTAGATTATTGATTTATAGACCCTCCATATCAAAAGGATGTTCCAACTCAAATGCAACCCAAACACTCCAATCAGTGTGTAATTAATATGAGCATCCGAGACCACCCGGATGTAGGCATGCCAGTCCCATGGAGTCTTTGGGTGATATCTAAGAATAAGATTATATACCTGGACCCTCCTGTCGGGGTGTCCTGGCTGGACTACCCCACACTACCTATAGGCTTCCAGACAGGGCACCCCGACAGGAGGGTCCTGGTATATATATATATATATAAATTCGCCACACCCACGCAACCCACCGGCTGCCCCCGCCACGCAAACCCACCCCATCGGCCGCCGCCACACAACCACCGGAATGCCCACCCTTCTTCGCTTCCCATCGCCCTCTTCGAACAGCACGGCGCTCTTTGAGCGCAGGCGAGTAGACAGCGCAGTAGACGGACACGGCGACCCCCGCGCCGCGGCGCCTTGAGGATCTTGGCTCTCGCCAGGAACTCCTTGTGCTCGCTCCGCAGGAAGTCCTTGATCTTCGGATCGCTCGGCGCGGGCAGGATCGCCTCCTGAGCGGAAGAAGGCACCGCGGCACCGCGTGGGGGGGAGAGACGGGCGACCTGGGGGATCGGTGGTTGGTTTTTTTGGGCCAAGCCCGAAGGAATTCTGAGATGGCGAGTTGATCCTGAACTGGGAACCCCACTGGTTCCTAAACTCCCGAGTTGATCATACAACACCACGAACTGGTCTTGAGGTGAAGGACTCGGACGGTCTTTGGACCCAGCGAATCAGGGCTGGTGTGGATCCTCCAAAAAGAGGCGACAAACGTCCGCACAAATACACATGCATGGAATATACAATCATATACATACTTCTACTATCTTCTACTTGGATTATTTGCTTAAGGAACTAGGGGAAAAAACACATATACTGGTATTCACCAGCACATTGGCCTCCGCCCCGATCAACCGTCGTCTGCCCAGCCTCGTCCAGCTCCTCCTGGAAGCTAGGCCCAGGTGCCAACGCATCCTCGGGTGGTGCGCCATTGGCGATGTGGCTGGAGTAAACCTCAGGACGAAAGTGGAACCGAACGGACGGTCTGCGAGCGGCCAGTAGCGGCGCCGCTAGCCCGTCCGGCCAGAAAGGCGAAGACAGACTGGCAGACTGGCAGGCTGGCAGTGCGACACTTCTGGTAAACCCTCACTGGTTGGTCCCTGGAAGATGGTCTTTTTCCTCTAGGAAGCGGTGGTTTCGGGGTTCCATGTTAATATTCAGGGGAGTATGATTTGCACTGTGGTAGGGGCAATGTTAGTTTGGTGAAGTGTGCCGTTCACAGTGTTCCTGACTCATCCGTGTGGTTGACAGAGATTGAGTGCAGGGGGGTGCTCATCTGCTGCTTCTGCTTCTCCCAGTAGTTCTCTTGAGTCATCCAACGCATCCAAGTGGAGGTCAAAGGGTAATGAAGCAATGATCATAACAACATATAGTGATTCCATGCGATGCCACATGCCAGTTCACCACACACATATAATATGCTCCAAACATGTGTTCTTCTATTTTTGCCTTTCTTCTCTCACTTCAAGTCCTCCTTCACACCTTCAACTGGTTCCTTCAAAAAATGGATCACCTCCTACCTCCAGCCTTAAGGCGGCTGTAGGTAGCTCCGCCGCCTAAGGGTCGCGGCGGTTTCAGCTCTTTCAGCGGCGTATAAGGGATCGACCCGGTCCGAGGGGCATAGGAGACTTTGAAGGTCTTCTTGCTGGTGCCCACCTGCTCGGACCGGTTGATCAAGGCCGGTCTCCACTCCAAGGAGTTCCCATCCGAGGGGTGTTGGAACTTGGCATAGCCGAAGCACCTGAGGCGGACGGCGGCGAGGACGGCGGCAGGACGGGGCGGTCCCGGTGGAGGCGCAGCGGGTTTTGGTGTTGCGCTGTTCACGGCGCTGTGGGGGTGCTGGCTATTGTTGCTGCATGTGGTCGTCGTCGCAGTCAGTTGTTGTCGTCGTCATTGCTGCGACTGCAATTGTTGCTCATGTCGCCAGCTGTAGGTGTCACTGTAGGTGTCATAGCAGTGGTGCAACTGTCATAGTTGTGGGGGCATGGAAGCAAGTTCTTTTGTTCTTTAAGTTTGGGGGATGTTGCTCCTTCAGAACATCAACCAGGAGTCACAAAGGGGTGGTGTTTAGTCCCCAAGTGAGTGGAGTAGCTGGGCACCCCTAACCTCCATGGATCGCACCCCTTTGTGACTGCTGGAATGTCTCACTTACGTGACTCGCAAACCTGGTTTCTGGGGAGCTTTTTTCAAAGCAATGTGATTGCACTCACTCTCCAAAATTCACCGCCAGGCTTGCGTCTGTTTCTGCCCGGGCTAATCTATATAATTAATATATGATTCTTGATGAGCATGAACCGTTATACAGGCAACCAGGTAAAGTCCCTCCGCGGAAACCACCGAACCCCGCCCAAAGTTGTCTGTTGTTGTCTGTAATGTCCTTGTAGTGGTCCCCAAATCTACAGGAACCGATGTCCAATACATGTTTAGTGGGGGGATCTATTTTGATATCTATTTGGGGGGTAGTTCTACATACCCTTCCGGGAAAACTTGCTCGCCTACTTACTGTTCTCAGAACGTCACCGGTCCGTGCTACAGACCTGCTCCTGTCGGTGAACGCCCGAAGAACGATGGACACCTCCACAGTAGAGCCGGTGCTGCTCCAGTATTCCCAGCTGAAAGATGGCTCCATGAACTATGAACCAATTTACGGGACCCGCAAGAAGCACACCCCATGGTTTTACTTGTTTAAAGTAAAATCTCTCAAGGCAGATCAACCACTGCTGTTTTTCTATGTCATGTAGTCTCAATGGTTCTTCAGTCCTCGGCAAGGCTTCCCAAAGCAACGGACCCTCGTCGCGCGCCGAACTCGTGCCTTTTCCTTCGACGCGCGCGTGTGTTCGCGAGGGATCTGAAGACGACGTCGGAGGCGAGGCACTTGTTGGGCATGTTCATATCTTGGAGGCGTTCCTGGTACTTCTTTTGCTCTCCTGGCTTTCCGGCAGGTTCTTCCAGAGTGCTCGTCGACGGTGCACGACCACCATGGAGCGAGCATCATGAAGGACTGGTGTGCAAACACTGGTGGTGTGCCAAGGCAAAGGGGCGGAAGGGGATCCGGAACCCAAAGGAGTCCGGCTCTTCACAAAGAAAGTTGTGAGTGGGAGGCCACCCACGACCAAAGCCAAACGCTTCCCACCATCTCTTAGTGAGCGCTGCTCCATCGACGGAGGGGACCCATTGTGCGGAAAGAAGCTATCCAGCTATCCATACCTTTGGGTGCAGGATGGTAATAAAAGTGGATGATGATGGTGAGACAATGCCTTTCTCTAAAACAGTGATCATACCCTAGGGCTCCAACCACCTCCTGAGACGGTGGTTGGGGTGGGTTTTGGTGGTCTAACCACCTTCTCAGGAGGTGGTTGGAGCCCTAGGGATATAACATTTCGTAGGTGACACATCCTTGTTTACGAACTGTTCGAGGTAAGTTCGGATAGACCCAAAATCCATAGCCCTGCTGCTTCATCGGGTCGAGGATCCACTCCTTCAGGACCCCCCCCCCCCCCACCCCACCCCGGCCCCCCATACCCCACACTTACCTGGTTGGACCACCCATCACGGTCCAGCGAAAATCCCATCCCATCCCTCGCGATGGCCGAGTTCACCACCGTCTTCTTGGGCATCCGAGAAAAAGACGGAACATCAAGATACCTGGACCTGAAAAAGGGGTGTCCTGGCTGGAGGTCCCTTAAAAAAAGTGGTGGGCTGGGGCGAAACCAGCCAGGTGACCCAAACATGAAGGTGCTGGTACACATCTCGTCTTCGTTCCCCAACTTCGAACTGGTCCATCTGGTCCATGATGATTGAACCTGGTGCTTCCTTTCGTTCGATCCAAGATATCCGAGGCTCGTTCGAACTGTCTGAGTCGGTTGTTCTTCAAGCGGTACTGTTCGGTGCCATCGACCACGCGCAGGCGCTGCGCCACCGATCGACCAAAGGAGTAGATGTTGGAATAGTGCATGAAGGTGCCTGGGAGCTGCGAGTTGGGAGAACCCTTGGGAGGAGGAACCGCCACTTCCTCAGCTTCACTTGGGAGACTTGGGAGGCCTCACTTCCTCCAGTGCTTTGGATCGTTTACCCGTCCCAGGGCTCCAGTCGTGCCGTATCGTTTCGTTTGGGTAGGACTGGGGTGGGTGGGTGCCAGGAGTGTCCAGTCGTAGCTTCTGAGGTACGACTGGAGCGCTGGAGGCCTTAGCCCAAGGGTTCTTAGGGTTAATGATTATTGTTAATAACTATAATATAACTAGTGTTTATAGCCTATGGAAATTAATCATGGTGACATGGCTGGGCATGGCCTCTTGGATGAGCATGAAATCCGAAAATCAAACAGGTGGCGGTTTTCTACTTCATTCTACTTCCATGTTAGGTTTCCTGACTAAAGAGAGGTTCGCTTCCTGCAATGATCATGTAGCAGGATGGAAAGGCAGTGTAACCTTGCAATGATCCTGGAAGTGGATGGGCATGGCTGTAGAAAGCCAATGACCATGTTCAATCCGAAGACCAGGTGATGAACTCGGATGAACTGGGGGGAGTGACCTTGTCTCCACTAGGAAAATCAAATCCTCCAAAGCTTCGCTTCAAGTATCTTCAAGGCCCGCGGGTTGGAAGATGATCTTTCCAAACAACAACTCACTTGGACCCCGTTTGGGCGGTCTCATGTAGACCGAGGCTCTCCGAGTTTGTGGAAGAAACCCTTTTGGTCTTTCTCCAGGGTCCTGTTTTGTTGATATAGACCCTCTGTCATGGATAGAAAGCAGTAGGCAAGCAAGTTACAGGTGTATATATATATATATAGACTACCCCCACTACTACTCAGAATGTACTGAAAACAGTGCCACTATCTATTTGGGGACCCCTATACTATATGTGAGTTTCCGACGATGACTTGCTGGTTTGGAGGGGCTCCTAAGCCGAGCCATGAAAGAGGTCTTAGCGAAAAAAAACGCACTAGAAACTGTTCAAGCCTGATCCCATTGTCCTCGATTCTCTTCGGTTGGCTGAACACATTAAAGAACTGTGACTGGACATTTTCCGAATGACGTTAATCTATACAAACAACCGGCAAACTGCACCAAGTTTAGGATTCCTTATTGGGATAACAGCTCATTTGCCATGGACCCTGCTGCTTCTGGGACGGGCAACATAGAATGCCACCTCGCTCGGGGAAATAAACACAAACATTTTCCAGGCCATCCATGTATAATACAAGCATATACTCCTACATTGACGGCTGAAACTATCCCAACTGATCGGCAAATAGGTCATACATGGAGTGTCTGGGTTATACTCTTTTCAATCCTGGAAACTGGATAACTTTACTCGACCAACTTATCTACCACATGATGTGATCTTCCCGCCATATCATATATGTTCGGATGAACTCTCCAAGTTCTGTGACATTGGGCTGCTGATACCTATATAGTTAAACAGTATGTAAAGGATGTTCTCCATGGTGCCAAGAGTAAGTGCTTCTCCATCAATGTGCTACGTGGAAGTTAAACGATGTTAAACCTATTAAAATTGGTTAATCTTAGCATCAAAAGGCCAAACAAAACCATTACATGGTGTCTGTGTTCTATTTTCAGGGGACCGGCGCCAGCTGTCCCCCAGGCTTCTTCTTGACAGGCTGCAAATACTATCCAAAGGCTGCCAGGACGAGGGGTCCTGCGCGGCGCGACGGCCATCTGGCCATCTGGTCATGGCAGTGACTAAGTCTGACTGACTGACCTTTTCTCCTAAGTTTGCGGAGCACGTGCAGTACTGGAAGCACAGTGGAGGGTCAGCATTTTCGTCGGCAGGTCACGTTTAAACTAAAATACCCACTGTGCTCAACCATCCAGATCCATCAACAAATCCTGGCTGAGATGTTGCTTTGCTTTTTCATTGGGTGCCAGTCGGCCGAGTCGGGCAGGGCAGAATAGCTCCGAAGCATCCCACTGGAACCGATAGGGCAGGAGAATTCCGCTCCGTCCACATCCTGGAAATGCTCAGGTCCAATACACCTGACCAGTCAGACGGATGAATTCACTCAAAACGGAGCTGTCATGGATTTACGAGCGTCCAGGCTATTCAGGCCCCAGAGAACTGTGGATCCGACGTTCAGTCCTCATGATCTGACCGACCATGTAAACCATCCCAATTGGGCGTGGGCGCCTGGGCTTGTTCCCATGGTTTACATGCGATGGTTTAAGGTTCGAGGGATTTCCTCTAAAATGGTACTTGAGGCCAGGGGGAGAGGTCGAAAGCTAGCCGAATCGCACCGGATGTACTAGTTACATAGTCGGCAAAGCATGTAGGGATGACATGTTTTGGGAGGAAGGTTGCTATGTACATACTTTGCGCTAAAGAATGTAAATGTGACATCGCTGACTGGGAAGGGTACATTGGAACAACCCGGGTGCACTCGTTGGCAGGCACGAAGATGCGTGATCGGCAAATCTGGGGGGTAAATTTACCCTCCGCTTTTGTATGCCTTGAGTCGGAAAGAGGGGTAAGCATTTCTGACATCATACGGACTGTACATACACTAGGGCGTCCGTAGTGTAGGAGAAGCACGGGTAAAAGGTATATGGAATAGAGTGTCTTGAGGAAATAGCCGGTGTATGGTTATTGCAAATCTGGGGGGTATATTTACCCCCCGCTTATGTATGCCTTGCGCTGGAAAGAGGGGTAAGCATTTCTGGCATCACAAGGACTGTGCATACACTAGGGCGTCCGTAGTGTAGGATCTGGTAAAAGGTATAAGGAGTAGAGTGTCTTGAGGAAATAGCCGGCTTATGGTTATGGCAAATCTGGGGGGTAAATTTACACCCCGCTTATGTATGCCTTGAGCCGGAACGAGGGGTAAGCATCACAAGGACTGTGCATACACTAGGGCGTCCGTAGTGTAGGATAAGCACTGGTAAAAGGTATCAAGAATAGAGTGTCTTGAGGAAATAGCCGGTGTATGGTTATAGCAAGCCTGGGGGGGTAAATTTACCACCCGCTTATGCATGCATTAGGTTAGAAATAGGGGTAAACAACTTGTAACGGTGAAGTACAAGTCCTATGCAGCAAGCAGCAGCCAGCAGCAGCAGCAGCCGCCTGCAGCCAGCAGCCAGCAGCAACCACCAACCAGCAGCCAGCCAGCAGCACCACGCAGCAGCAGCGCAGCATCAAGCCGCAGCAGCAGCAGCACCACCGGCAGCAAGCAGCAAGCAGCAGCAGCAAGCAGCAAGCAGCAGTAGCAGCGGCGTCGTCAGCAACAGCAGCAGCAGCACCAAGCCGCAACAAGTAGCAAAGCAGCAGCTACAAAAGCGGCAACCAGCGGCAGCAGCAAACAGCAGCAGCAAGCAGCAGAGCGGCAGCAGCAGCAGCACCCTTTACACCAAGCCACCGTTACACCCAACCAACCACGTTCACACGTTCAACCAACCCCCTACACGGCGCAGCTGGGAGTTGAACCGCGGGGGGGGGGGGTTAGCTTGATATATCAATCTTTAAGGCACGCAGCCCCTCCCACCACAACATTGCTAAAGCAAAGAAGAACTCAGCTAGCATGCTAGCTTTCGTGATGACCAGGAGGAGCCAATGGGATGGGTTTTGGTCCCCAAGTGAGTGGATAGTGCGCATCCCTATCCTCCAAGTTCAGCACCCGTTGTGAGTCCAGGTATAAGACCTTTGTTGACCGACTGCTCTACAGGTTTTCTAGGACACCACCCATGACACAATCCCCCACACAGCGGATCCCGATCCCTGTCGTTTGGGGTGTCAGATCCAGCGGGTCTTCCAGCCTGCTGGAAACTCCCAGTGCACTGGAGTCTGTTCAAACTGTGTCTTCATTTTACCACCTGGTCTTCAGCATGTGTCTTCTGAACATAGTCTTAACATTGAAGTCTTCTCAAAAAGGAACGTTAAAGAGAAGACTGTTAAACCCTAGGGGTCCAAGTACCTTGTCAGAAGGTGATGTGTTCGACACCGTGAAAAAAAGGTGCCAGAAGGGTTCAGTCGTACCTTCCGAGGTTCGGTACGACTGGATCCGTAGGGAAAATGCATGTTAAGACCTTTTTGCCTCCTGTTGTGCACTACTCCGGAGTTCCGGAGCAAAGGTCCTGCTCTTCGATACGGTAGAGGCGCTTGTACTCGTAGCTGCTCACCCCCACCTGCCCGAGGTCCGCGGTGTCAATGTGGACACTCAAAACCGACTCAAAACCAACTCAAACAACCATATGCGACTTTTGGACTGTGAAAGGACGGTATGTTTCAAGCACGTTACGAAAGAAGCGATGCTCTCCACCGTGCCCCCTTCCACCCGTTTTGCTTCCGTGCCTTGCCCTGCTGCGCCAGCTCGCGGAGCCGTTGCGAGGGCACGAAGACCATGACCGAGTGCCGGTAGGACCTCGGCGCGACCCTGCGCGACCGGCGTGGAAAGGCAGTTTGGGTTGGAATGGATGTCTAACATAAGGGTTTTCAAAGTATCAAGGTTTATAATACATGTTCCCTAAGGATCCAAGTACCCTCTGAGAAGGTGTTTGGGGTGGGTTTGGAGGGTCCAAGTACCTTTTGAGGAGGTACTTGGATCCCTAGGGGTTGTGGTTGAGAAGAATTGAACGAGGATCCGACAGTGCCATTGGGTTCTGTTGTTTGGTCCATGTTCTGGGTCCTTTCTGCTGCCAAGCTGCATGTCATTTGCCACAGCCTCCAGTTGCTGCTGCCGCTTTCGGTTCTTCTCCACAGCAGCTTCGGCCTAGCAGCGCGCGCTGTAAGCGGGCGCATGCGATGATTGGATGGAATTGCGTGGGCATGGGTCACAACCCGGTGACCAAACTGACCATTCTATGTGTACCAGAGGTCGGTACGCCCAGCATAAGCTTTGAAGCCTTTTCTTTGGAAAAAACAACGGCTTCATGGATGTCCATGTCCAAATCATTCCAAAAAGGCCTGAAGCTTTGGTGTTCCTTCTTCGCTCCGTTCTAGCGCCAAGAGCCGTTTGGATGAGCTACCAGTATTTGGGGGCCTCAGGGGTTGTTCGGAACATCCGTTGACCGGTGTTGGGGGGTTGTTCCGGGCTCCTCCATGAAGGCACCTTCTTCGGTCAACTGTCATGTCCCAACTTCTCCGGGTTTGAGCTGTCGTGAGCTGTCCAGCTGTCCCTCAAGCAGGTCAAGCAGCAGGTTGTTTCCACATGACACGCGCTTGGTTTACCTCAAGTTTGAGGCCTTAGGTCTTTAGGTGGAAGCGCTCCCTGCCTTGCAGGCAGCGGCCAACTTGTCCTTGAACTGGTGCATGTTGTCGCCCAAGTAGATCTGGATGTTGTGATTCATGCCGGGACCATCCTTCTCCTGCCAAACAATAACTCCAACAAAAACTGAAGTACGCCAACAATTTACTTTACGTAATGATACTTAATAATAGGGAAGTTGCGTTGGTCTCCGTTTCACACGTACACAGCTAGGTTGCGAACATGCTTAGAACTTGAAATCGCAGGTGACTGTTGAATACTGTTGATTGGTATATTTGGAGGACAGTTGTCTGCCATCAGGGTCAATACACCTTCCTTCCCTAAGAATCTGGGCCTCAAACACATAGGGATTTGAGGGTCCAGACATGTCCAGACCACTGCGGATTTTAGGGCACCCTTGCCAGGGAGGGCCCGTTCGGATTCTTAGGGTTCAAATGTGGGGGAGGGATGAAGAAAACTCCGTGGTGATGCCACATGGGTCTCGGCTGAGCCATGTTTTGCAAGACATGCCACTCGGCTGAGCTGTTTTTTCTTCTCATTCCCGCCCATCCAGTGCTCACCACGTGGAAGGTTGTTTTCCAAGTAGAATGGACATATAATGGACCATCGTCATCCATCTTTGCTGAAAGACCGGGCCGATGTGTGTAATCCCGAGTGTATCTGTCTGCGTCTGTGGCTGTGAGTGGCTGTGCGGGTGTGGTGAAGCCTCGCCTTCGTATCCTTCGGTCCAAAGTACATGCGCAATTCCTCCTTGTTACCCAAGACCTTGGCGACGGATGTCGCTACCTACGGATCTCGCTATCCCGCATGTCATTGGATCTGGGCCCCCCTTTCAATTCCTTCTGATTCCTCGTGAATAGACTCAATTGACCAGAGTTTGGTTCAGAAAGCGCACCTGTCACCCAACCTTGTGCAGAAAAGTCAACCCCCCAATGAACTTGTAGGATGGCCACTCTGAGACACCCAACTGACAGGACGGCAACTGCAATTAGTCACTCAAAATCACGTCGCAAGTCTCAAATGATCTCCACAATAAGGATCCAGTCGTACCCTCTGAGAAGGTGTTTGGGGTGGGTGCCAGGAGGATACAAGTACCTTTTGAGCACGTACTTGGAATGTCTGTGGTAGCTGATGTGATGACCTCACACAACTGCCAGATCTTCTGGGTCGATACCTCGGAACCCAAGTCACGCGGCTCAGGCCGCATGGAGATTCGGTCTTATTGAATGAATGCTGACACCACTTCCATGGCCTCACCTCGCCGGGCCCCATCCCAATCCAATCGCTATGTATATAGACCACCCAAAATGGATTGAATGGTCGACCTACCGAAGCACCATTGTTTTACGATTTTGCACTGCACAACCAGGTCAATGTTCGTCTTGGAAGGCTAGGGATTATAAATAGAAAAGTAGGTCCCCACTTGAAATGTATTGGAAACCGCTTCTATCCATTTGGATTGGGGACCTCTATCATTGGATCTATAACTGGGAACCCGCCTGTGAAACCAACCCACTCAGCGCAGCCGCTTTTTTTCTTCCCGCCCCTCAAACAAGCACCGCAGCTGTTTGAGGGCCGTCAAGCCAGCCGTGGTCGGCCGAACCAATCGGCGGTCGTGGTCCATTCTGGAGCACGCCGGCGGGAGTGGGTTTCTGACTTGAGTCAGGAGTGGGGAGGACAGGAGAAAAGCCAATTCCAGGCTCCGGTCTGAAACTTGGGCTGTCTTGGAAACTTCGACCATCAACAAATCGACCCATTCTCGTCGTGAAGAATGCGTGAGCTGCTCGGTGCATTAAGCTGGAGTCACATATGTCATATGCATCCTGAAGCGCACGCATATGCCCAAAAACATGCGCATGATCTGACGTTGCTCATGTCGCCCCGAGTGCTGGCAAAGTCGATGAAACACCGGTCTTATTCACCTGTTTGAGTTGAGGAGGGGTCCATCAATTGCTCAAACAGAACCCTACAGTGCCCTACACGTCCAAGACCGCATTTCACTGCAGTTGCTCATAATTACACTCAAGAAAAGGCCACTCAATGAGCTAGGTCGGACCAGGTCTTTGTGGTTTTTGGACCTGTAGGGGAGTGCGTCAAATCCCCGAGAACCATGAAGGATTGTAACGAACATGTCGGGCCCCCAGCAGGTGTTCGCCGCGAACCCATTTTGGGGGAACGAACGTGTCTATGATATGCTGGAGTTTCTACTTCCGGCCCGGGCTTGCCCGGGTCCATCCTGCATCCTGCATCCACCACTGGCACTCTGTGGCCAAAGGCCCAAAAGGCTGATCCACTTCGGAATCCCCAGGGCCAGTTTGCCCCCGAACTCGCTCCCCGTGTGAGGAACATGGAGGGCAGTTGGTTAACCTTAAAATCATCCAGGGGAGACCTCCAGGGCGGCGCCTAAAAAAAGGATTTCTGCCCAAACTCTGACTGAACAGGACCATGCACAACACCCAAATCGGCCAGCGAGCTTGCCTGTGGCGAGCTTTCTGATGGAACAGGTTTCATCGATTTCGTGGAGGCTGGCCACCCCGGTTTTTCACCCAGTTTCACGATTCAACTTTCATCGATCCAGCGGTAAAAGCACAAGGAATCGACCCGCGCAGGCTTCGCGCGCGGGTCGTGTTCTTTGTTCAAAGGGCGATCGCGGGAGGATCGCGGTAAAAGTTGCGGTTGGATGAGCTGTTGTTTGGAAAAAAATTCGGGGACCCGCGGCGGAGGACTCGTCAGAACCGCCAGTTCGTTCTATTGATGGTCGATGTGAGCGACCAGCAAGGATTTGCTTCAACCCTATATCTATCGGACAAATCAATTCCACTCATGAACTAATGCCATATGCTGTATGCTTGCATATGCTTGCTATGTGACTCTCTGGGAAGCACTCCTTCATCGTTCTTCTCTTTCTTCAGGGTTTTTCGCATCGGGCAGGTCTCGTTGCCCCGAGCAGGTCACATCGAGTCTCAGCAGGGTCATGGCTCAGTTGATGAGCCGGTTGGCGTCGCTCGCCGTCAAGTTGGAGCCAAACTCATACCTGATGATGAAAGATTTGATGGATTGGTGGGTTGCGGGTTGTGGCTTGTGGGTTTGGGTTGTGGGTTGGGTTGGCTAGGTTGGGTTGGCTAGGTTGCTTGGCTTTACCGCGATTGGGATGGTTATTGCATTCCCACCAAATCGGGTGATGTTCTGAACAGGCCATCATTCTTGCAGGCGTTTTGCGGGAAAGGGTGGTGGTGTCCAAGACGTCTGTCACACACCCCTCAGGTCCCAATGAACCTCGCAACTGGGCGAGCGCCATGCGAGCCTGCCTTTGGAAGGAGAGCCGGTCCGTCGGACCCATTCCTTGAGTTCACTAAGATTCAGATTGGCAATCAAACGGCTTTAACAGTTGTACACACTATACACATTGACATGCTCTCCAAACCGGCAGAAAGAGGTTCTCAATCACCACAGGTCACCCTCCCTCCAGTGCACCATGAGAAAGCGGGACTTTGTGCCGACCTCTGTTACAGGAAGAAGCATGTAGAAGCATCCCCTTCCATCTTCCATGTGCCTTCCATGGCCCTTGACCTTTTCACCTAGCTCCTTTTCACCGCTCCTCGACCAAGACCCGAGGGCACTCCTCCTGCTGGCCGTCCCAGTCCAACTGCCACTGATTGAAGCCTCAAAAACCCGATCGGATGGATGCCGACAAGGTGTCAAGGGCCGTCCCATTCTTAAACTCAATAGAATGTCCGCCTTAGAGTAGCTTTCTGATGCAGGTGATGCACTGACCCCTTCACACCTTGCATCTACCGCATCACCAACCCACCAAACATTGCCAGCAGCCCAACTCGGTTTGCATACACTTTACCCAGCCTGCTCCCCAGACCCCTTGAAGACTCACTTTGTTCGCAAAAAATAGCTTCAGCCTAGCCTATCGGCTGGCTTTAGTGATGTTACAACATATATCTCAATGACCATCTCAATCTTAAATTCAATTGGCTTCTCGGGATTATGAGACGTCAATGCTTACAGTGCCTCAAGCTCTTCACACTGATGGTTGATTCGAAGTCACATGCCAAGGAAATGATGCATCGGGGCATAACAAACAGCACTGTGGTACGTGCCAGTAAAACACTCAAGAGGTTCTGTTTTCGTTGCATGTGGTTCTGGGGAACATTTTTGCGTCTGGAGGGGACTGGAGAAGAATTCAACATGGTTTGCAGCATCAAGAAACTAGCACATACGAGTACTAGCACATTAGCTGGCCAAACCCCGGCTTGACCTTTTGTTTTTCGTCAGCAGGTGGCTTACAGCCTTCTCAGCCTTAGAATGATATGTTGTCTTCTCTCGTGTTTGAAGACCCATGAGACCTCATGAGACTGTATACGAGAGCCGTAATTACCTCATTCCAATGCAGAGTGGTTTTGCGAAAGTCTTGGCTTTCTTCCACACAGAACTCCCAGGATCTCTACACTGCGATATGCTAGCTCGAGGGATCGTCCGACTACAAACTGCTTGCTCCGTCACGAACCCGCTCGTTTTGGGAGTGCCAACACATCAACACTGGCAGGATATATGCGCCGATGGTTGCCCCCCGTGAGAAAAGGACCACAGATTGGAACATTTAATTAGCGCATCTTCCAATCGAACGTTCGAACAACAGGTCACAAGCCAACCAAACACCAGCTCCAAATCCGAACGATGGTCACCTGGATGAGCCATCAATCAGTGCTGGCCAGGCTGGCCAGCTTTCAACTGATCCATGCAACCAGAAACATGCTTCCGCAACTGCCACTTGTGGTGATCATATATGTCATCATGGGCCATGGAAATCAAACAAATAACGATTCTATAGCAGGAATCGACTCGGTCAGGTCACCACCTGCGACTTGTAAGTCACTTCTATAAAGGCCACCAGTTCGTAGACCTGTAGAGTCGGGTCCAGGTATACATCGCTCCTTGGGCCCCCGGAACCTCCTCCAAACGGAACGTACCACCGACCCGTGCAGGTCGCTTTCACCCGACTGCTTCAACAAACCCGGGCCGCCGAAGCGTGGGTTGTCCAGGCGAGCGGAGATGAAGAAATCCTGGGTGAAACGGTCGAAAAGACTTGTGTTATTTAGATTCGGCGTTCACCGTCGATATAGGTTCATAACCATTCATAGGCCCTGGTTTTCCAACTATGGGTGGCCCTTTTTGTCATCAGAACCCATTGGGTGGCCTAGAGTCTCTGTTCGAAATCGATGGATGTTAGATGTTCTGCTTGGATTCTCCATATGGGAAAGGACCGGACCGATCTGTTGCCCGGCCGATCCGCCAAGCTCGTTCCACCATGGGAGACCGGTCAGTCTCTGAAACCTCCACATCAGTCCGATTGACCGGCAAAGCTCAGTAGCTACCAGACGTTACCCCGTGACCAAGAGCCAACACTGTGAAGTGACCCGGACGGCTGTGAAGTGCGCTCTTCACCACCAGTAGATTGAATACCTTTGAAGTTCCCGCGTCCATGACCAAGAGCCGACTTGTGAAAGTGCACGTTCTCCCCTCGTTCTACAGGATTTCCATGGTCGGCACGCAGGGGCCATGCCATCCACTTTCGATTGTAGGCACCCTCACCGACCATGTTCCGCCGTTTCGTCCGAAGGCACGGCGTTGGTGATGGCATCGAAGACGGGCAGCTTGGTCTCGGCACGCAGGGCATCTGCGTAGGGAGGCAGCTCGGTGCATTCGAGGCAAATGGCACGGATGGAGGCGTGCTTCTTGAGGATCTGCTTCACCTT